AAAAGGGGCGTGGTGGCAACACGTGAAAAGGCCAAGGAAAAAGTTTAACAAAACTTGTTTTCTAGGCCTGCATGGCAAGATCTGAGACCATAATATTGGTAATTTTGGTAAATATTGGTAATATGCTTTGTAAATGGTAAGGCATAAAAAAAAAATACCTGTGGTTCCGGTTTCATATCATGAAAAAATTAGGGTCGGTAGGTCGGAAATAATATTTTTTTTTTGAATATTTTTTTCATGGTTTTGGCGGTTTTTTGCTTGGCGATTTGCAGTAGAGTCCCGACATCAATATTAACTAGAGATGCGTATTTCCTATGGACGAATTTAGGCAATTTGGTTCAATAATTAGTGTGACAACAGACGCCATTTTGGCACGCTGTATGAGCAGCCCGCAACCACCCGGAGAAAATAAGGTTGTACGGTCAATCGCGCTGAAAAAATAATAGGGTCGGCAGAAAAAAAATAGGGTCGGTAGGGAACCGGAACCACAGGTATTTTTTTTTACGCCTAAGTTTATTTTCAAAAATTGCTTTTCACATTGTTTTAATTGTCTGCATTGGTTAACAAGAATTAGGTGCCACCCAAAAACGGTGAAATTCGTCATTGTGCAAAAGGCTAACCGGGTAGCAACAAGATGTATAAAACAGTGTTAGCCAAATGGGCTATTCCATGTAATAACCGGTACACCCCCTGTTGAGGATCCCTGGATTTCTTCAGAGGTAAAGGGTTTTGAGCTTGAAATTCTTCAAAGGTATATTACTATAACAAACATGTATCCTCGACAGGGGGGGGGGGGTAGGTTCAGATATTAAATGGAATAGCCCAATTTTTCTATTGACTCTACTAAAGTATAGCTGCAAGAGCAGTGTTTTAAACTTAAAGATGATGTCTACTACTCCTTTGTATGTTTGCATTTTGGACTGCCATATACAGGGTTTGAAATTAGAATTTTCCGGTGGTATCCATTAAAGGTACCAGCACTTCAAAATTGGTATCCAAACTGAAAAACGTGTATCCAACTTTGATACGATTAGAGAATAGTGAATGCAAGAATACAGACAGTATGCTGGCTAATATTTGGAATCATCATATATCATAAAACTGTACAAAAACATATTGACTAATGACTAACAAAAGGTATTTTACTGTACTTCATGACAAGATAAGTAGAACCGTAGTAATGGAAATATGTTTCCTGTTTTGAAGCAAATTGCAATGCTTGAACAGGAAGTTAATACAATACATGTAATGGTTAAAGGTTTCGGTATGTACACCAACAATTTCTTTGGTATCCAGGTGGGATACCAAGGTTTTAACATCTGATATCCA